GATAGAGCACAGCAGGCAGAAGGAGAGGCAGAAGTAGGCTCCCTGCCAAGCAAGGAGCCCAACACAGGGCTCTCAATTTCAGAACACTGGTGTCATAACCTGAACTAAAGGCAGATACTTAACTAGCTGATCTACCCAGGTGCCACTGAAATCTGTACTTCTTACAAAGTTGTACTGAAGCCAGATGGCACTGGTTTCTGAATACCAATTATGTATATCTTCCTACACTATATTCATGATTTCACACTGGTGACATGAAATGAACCATTACTGGTGAAATTGCACCCCCAAAATTAACAAATGCTTAAAAAATGTTTTCTTTCCCCTCCATGTGCCATATAACAGCACAAGATTGTATTCATATATGGTATAGGTCCAATCATATGGTATTGTATTGGTGACTTTAAACAATCATATCTGTACAAGCAATTGCAAGAGGAAAGTATGCATACAGATTTTTAAATTCACTGACATATTTAACCATTAATGCTATTCTTTATTCATTCTTGTAGATTTGTATTACAATTTAGTGACCTATAATATTAGCTTGAAGAATATTTTTGGAGAGCAGGTCCATAAAGAAGAAATTCTCTTAGGTTTTGGGTCTATCATGGAGTCCTTGTAGATCTTCTTTATTGTCAGACTGTTTTACAGAGTTTATACTTCTTTGAGAGGACCTTTGTGTGTGTGTGTGTGTGGTGTGTGGTAAATAGGTTTGTGTTTTCTTTCTTTCTTTCTTTCTTTCTTTTTTCTTTCTTTTTCTTTCTTTTCTTCTTCTTTTTTGTATTTTCAGCTCTGACCCTCCCTGTCTTTTTATTCTTCACTGTTTCTGGTGAGAGCATATATATTAATCATATTTTATTTTCCTAAATATAATGGCCAGTTTTTCTCTCCCTGCTGTCAAGATCACTTCTTTTTGTTTGCCTTTATTTTATATTTTAAGTTCTGGCAACCAAGCCACATAATATAAAATTTACCATATTCACATTACTTATGCTTAAAAAAATGTTTTCTAGAGCATCTTTAGGTTTATAGCAAAAGTAAGACAAGACAAAGAGATTTCCTGTATCCCCCTACTGCATATATCTATGCACCTGTAGGGCACAGACTCTCTCACTGTCAATATTCCTCAGTGGCGTGGTTCATCTGATAAACCTATATTGACGCATTTTTATCAACCAGAGACTATAATGTACTATCAGGTTTACTCTTGATGTTGTGCATTGAATGAGTTTGGAGAAATATGTAATGACATGTATCAACCTTTATGGAGTTATGCAGAATAGTTTCAGTGCCTTAAAAATCCTCTGTGCTCCACCTATCCATCCTTTCTTCCCCACTAAACTTTGTCAACCACTGATCTTTTCACTGTAGCTATAGCTTTTTCTCCAGACTGTCATACAGTGGGAATCATACTTATCTCACATCTTACATCTAACTATATCATGCATCTTCAACAACTTTAAGCACACAGTTTAGACTGCTAGCTATAGTAATATAGTAATTCCCCTCCCCTACATCCCCTCAACCCTTAAGAATCACCATTTACTTCTGGATCTATCAGTTTCTCTACTGATGTGAATGTGTATTCCTATCGTGTGTGTGTGTGTGTGTGTGTGTGTATGTGTGTGGCTTATTTCTATAACCATATTGCTTGAGACTCTCATCCATGCTGAAGCATGTGATAGAATTTCTTTCCTTTTCAAGGCTGAGTAATATTGCATTGCTTTGTGTATACTATGTTTTCTTGATCCATTCATCTATCAGTAGACATTTGGGCTGCTTCTACCACTTGGCTGTTGTGAATAATGCTGCAGTGAGCATGGGTGTACAGATACCTCTTTGAAATCTTGTTCTCAATTATTTTATGTATTTTCCTATATGTCGGAGTGCTGATTCATAATATTATTCTATATGTGGATCCCTGGGTGGCTCAGCGGTTGAGCAACTGCCTTCGGCCCAGGGCGTGATCCTGGAGTCCCAGAATTGAGTCCCATGTCGGGCTCCCTTCAGGGAGCCTGCTTCTCCCTCTGCTTCTGTCTCTGCTTCTCTCTCTGTGTGTCTCTCATGAATGAATAAATAAAAATCTTTAAAAAATATTAATAATATTATTTTAGTTTTAGTTTTCTGAAGAAGCTCCATAATGTTTTTCATATGGGCAGTCTAGTTTACATTCCCAACAGTAGTGTACAAGAGTCCTCTTTTTTCTACCTTCTCAACGACACTTTTTTTTTTATAATATCCATCCTAAGGTATATGAAGTGATATTTCTTTTTTTTTAATTTTTATTTATTTATGATAGTCACACACACAGAGAGAGAGAGGCAGAGACACAGGCAGAAGGAGAATCAGGCTCCATGCACCGGGAGCCCAACGTGGGATTCAGTCCCGGGTCTCCAGGATCGCGCCCTGGGCCAAAGGCAGGCGCCAAACCGCTGCGCCACCCAGGGATCCCTGAAGTGATATTTCATTGAGGTTTTGACTTGTAATTCTCTGATAATTGGTGATAATTAGCATCTTTTCATATGGTTTTTGATGATTTATAAATTTCCTTTGGAAAAAAAATTTTAACTTAAATTTTTAATTAAATGCCCATTTTTTAACTGGGTTATTTGGTTTTTATTGTTGTTACTGATTCATGGGATTCCTTATATATTTTGGATATGAATCCTTTGTCTGATATATGATTTGCAAGTGTTTTTTCCCATTTGTCTTTTCATTCTGTTGATCGATCCCTTTGATGCACAGAAATATTTTAGTTTGATGTTAGCTCATTTGTCTGGAGTGGACTCTTCCTTCGTGGTCTGTGCTTTTGATGTCATATCCAAGAATTCATTGCCAAATACAATGTTATTTATTTTACCCATGGTCTTTTCAAGGAGTTTCATAATTTTACATCGTATGTTTAGGTCTTCAGTCCATTTGGAGTTAATCTTAATATATGATGTAAATATAAGCATCCAGCTTCACTTTTTGCGTGTGGATAGTTTCCCATCATAAATTGTAAAAATACTCTCCTTTTCCTATTTAGTGGTTTCGGCAATCCTATAAAAATGATTATATGGAAAATACAGGGGTTTGGGTATGGATATATCTTTAAATTGTTGTTTCTATGGCAATTTAGGGCTTGGGGATTCCTATTTCTATGTCTTGCTGATGTCACCTCCTCTCCGGTCTGAAATAGTGTCCATGGTAGAGGTGGATTGTGTGGTGGATACGTGGTCTAAGGCTGATGGAGATGGAAAATGTATCACCCATTTTCTGATTTTCATACTGACTTGTCACCTCTTAATTCACCCTGTTCCCTCAAGAGTATTTCTTTGTGTTCTTACATGATCTTCAGTCATTTCAGTATGATGTCCTGAGATGTGGATTTCTATGTGCACATTCTCTTAGTTTGCTAAATCGCTGGGGTCTATAAATATTTTTAAAATATATTTAAAAGTTATTCATACATTGTGATGTAAGATTGATTCTCTGGTTTATTTTGCCTCTCTTGTCCTTCTCAGGTTGAACTTAGAACTACGTTAGTTTTACTGATATTGTTTTGAAGGTTTCTAAACCCTATTAATGATTCTCTCTCATCCTGTGGGATGAATACTCTTACTCCTTTTTTCAATTTCATCAATTATTTTCTCTGCCTCTCAAGTTTTCTGCAGAGTTAATTTATTGAAGTTTTCATTTTAGATATGTATTTATAAAGCAAGAATATCTCTGTGGTCTATTCATTTTTTTTCCTCTATTGATAAATCCTACTTGCTAAGTTGTTGCCATCGTATTTTCATCCAATTATTTGAACTAAGTTTTTAAATTTACATATATACATAAATATAACTTCAAAGTACTTTTTTCTAATAATGTAAATCTTATCTGCATAAAAGTTCCTATGGATCTGTTTTATGCCTTCTAATATGGAAGACATTTTCCAGTTTCTTTTCATTTCTTTTGGAGATGTTCTTGATAATATTATTTAATAAACATGCATTCTATTTCATATTTCATAGATTTATTATTTTTTTGTAAGTTGTGTAAACTTTACTGCAGAATCTTATCCTATGAAGTTGACTTTCTGAGATTTTTGTTTAGTTTTCCAAAATCTTATTATTTATTTTTATTTTTATTTTTTGTCTATTTTACTGGGTATGATCCTTGTGATTTGTAGCTTAGATGTCAACCATTAATATTTTTAAAAGTCTATATTCAAATACTGCAAGTCAGTAGGGCTTCCACCATCTGCCATGTGATGTGTGTGCTTGTGTGTGTGTTTGTATGTATGTGGGAGTGTGGTAGGGAAGTGATCATATTACTAGCAGTTCTCAAATTTCCTTCATCTTTTACTTTCTGCTAGGTTCACCTTGGTCTCCTCTCCCTGTGTGCATAATTTTTTCCATCTGCCAAGAGTGTATAGAGGGCTCATGTCAACTCTTCTGTTGTACTTTCCCATACAGTATCTTCCCATTATATTTATGGGAATCAGAGCACTTGGAACAAAGACCACAAACTCTGACTAGTAAAAATATGGGTTTTCCTTATCATGACTGAGTAATATCAGAACTTTGGGCTGAAAAATCAACTAATTAAGTTTGTCTCTGTGGCACCAGCAGCATTGCTTTTTGCAGCCAGTTTTTCCAATTGTGAAGACTACTGTTCTTCTTGGTAACTGATCTGGGATGACAGGTAAGGAGGTATTGGAGCTGCCCTAATACACAGGAAAATTACAGGGTTCTTCTTTTTACTTGAATACCTAGGATTTTTTCCAAAGAATATTTCACAAAGGACTTTTAACCTTTTGTCACCTACCAGAGCCCAAAATTGTTGCTTTTGTCAGTTTCTCCTCTTACTTAGTCCTATGAAGACACTCATCCAGTGTGTCCAGTGTGATACATTATATTATAATTAGATGGATACTATAATGTAAGAAAGAATTTATTTGTTACTACAAAATTCAAATGAATGTAAAAATTTCTATTTGATTTATCATAAAATCTGTTTTCTCATAGTATTGGTTGAGCTTCTTTACTCATTCTTCATGGATTAGAATCTCCTCGACAATCAGTAATAATTCATCTGTGTGGTCAAAAAGCTTCACTTTCTTCTCCAAAGTGTAAGTTTCCTGAGAATGTTTACATTTTATGACTTCAAAGAATTATCTTACAAGGAAAAACATTAATATGTGAAAAATTATATAAACACAAATGTTGCAGTGTTTTCATAGAAAATGATAAGGGAAATATTTAGATTTTGATCTATAACTATTAGGCAATAAACAAATAAATTGTTTATTCATAAATATTACGGTGTATACTACTAAGATTAATGAGACATAATTCTCTGTATTTCAGATTGTCATTATCTTCAGAAAGTGATGGGAATTGTCCATATTTCAACTTTGACATAAACAAAACTTCTCATGAAGACTGCTTAGACTTAAAACCATATATTTGTAAACACCAGGCATTAGTTACCTAAATTTGGTATAATGCTATCTCACAATCTAAAGAACATTATCTCTCATTTCTTCAAAAGCCATACAACTGTTTTCTCAGAATTTTTTAAAGATGTTATTTTTCAGAGCAATTTTAGATTCACAACAAAATTAAGAGGAAGGTACAGAGATTAACTCTATTGCCCCTATCCACACATGTGATGACCTCTCCAATTATCATCATCCCTCACTAGAATGATCCATTTGTTACCCAGGATGAATCTGTAGTGGTGCATCATAATCACCCAATGTCAAAAGTGTACCTGAGGTTTCACCCTTGGTGTTGATGTTATACTAACATAAAAGTATATATACTCAGGTACATACTACATATTTCTTAAGCCTTTGCTATTGATTAAGATGAGTTACACTTAAATTAAAAATTAAAATATCAAGTACTCTTTTTATAAATTCCTCAATAAAAAGAACCATTCTACTAAAATTTCAAAGTAATTGATTTTTTCCTAGCCCTTAAAGGAGATGCAAATAAGAGTTGAACAGCCCAGGGTGTCAAGGTTATCAGTCAGAGTTGAATCAGGACACAGACACCAAGGGAAGTTTGAGTAAACAATTATCTATTTGTAAGGGAAAGCCTACTAAAAGGAAAGGCTACTAAGATAAAAATGTAAGAACACCTTAGGGTTAAAAGAGAGTTCCCAAAAGACAGATGGCCAAGAAGCTAGATCTACTCTCTGAAGGTGGGATTTACATGTCATTGAAGACAACGTGCCTCCACAGCTTCATGGCAGACGTGCTCACAGAATTGGCCTGGAACAGAGCAGCTCCACAGTCCACAGGGCTGAAGCTGGTGAGGATGGATTTCAGGCTGTGACTGGCAAGCAGGAAGAACCCTTGCCAGTTTGTTAAGAGGCATAGAGCAAATGGCAGGAACTATGACTGGTACAGGACACAAAAATTTGCTTGAGGCTGAATACACTGCACTGCCTGCATGCATGCAACTGCAACCAAGCCATCGTTGCCAAACACCCTGATAAAGCATGAAACCAGGAAAAAGAGCCCTCTCTGCTTCAATGTGTCTCCATTACCTCTTACTGACAAAACCCAACCTCAGATGAGCTGACACAAGAAAGAAAGTGTACAGCACCTAGCTCCATTTTCTGAGAATAAGGCAGTAAGGGATTGATTTGGAGCTGGGAGTAATCAATTGTTAAACACTCAGGGTGATCATGCAACCACCACAGGGTGGCTATATAAGGCTCTTGCTTTTCACATCTGCCCCACTTCCTCAGAGAATGGAACCAAAGTGTACCTTCAGAATCTGTTGTAGGGCAGTACTATGAAAGGTTAGGTTCATTATACCATAGAGATAGATTTTCATTGAATGAGAACCACTGTCCTTTGATACTTTTTCTTTCATGGCATTTTCCTCACCAGGATTCAGGTATATTGGAAGAGTTCTTGTTTTATTAAATTCTCCACATCGCTACCTCTGTCATTCTTTACTAATCTGTTAAAAATACTTTGAAGTTAAAAATAAATGTAAAGTAGTGAAGAAAACAAGAATTAAAAGTATAAGGATATTTGCATAGAGCACACAGCTAGTTATTGACAGAATTCAGGACAAATGTTAGTACTTTGATAATGATTCAGAGATATTTTTACCCTAATTCAATTATAGCAGAGAGAGATAAACTCAATAATTATTTGCAAAATAATTCATATTTTATATATGTTTATCTTTGAAGATATATTTATATTCTTTATATTCTCTGTGCTTATTCCTTATGATCATATAGGGAAGTTATGTGAATATTCAAACTCAATTTCATATACTATTTAAATGGTAGCTGTAACTAATTGCTAAAGTTGTGTCACAAACAACCCAAGATTGCATTAACAATTAAAAATAAGCATTTATTTCTCATTTGCCAGTCTGTGGTTTGGCTATGTTTTAGTTGATTGACATTGAGCATGTATGGATTTGACTCCAGACTAGATTCAGTTCAGATTTTTTTTTAATTCTTCATTGTTAGAAGAGCGGGCTACCTGGTATATTCACCAGATATCAGTCATTTTGACTTAAGAACTTGATCCTTTTGTGCTGTCACCTGTGACATGATAATAATTGTAGACACTTCATAAGGTTGATCTGAGGAATCAATAACAATGCCTAATGATCCTTAAAATACAGCCTAATCAACGATGTTCTGGCTATATGTGATCTCTTCATATTTTACCTTACCAAAACTCAATAAAAGTCATCTTCCTAGAAAACCCATGCTCCAAAACTGTATTTTTTCCTTTCACCCAGTGAAATAGCAAGGTATCAAAAATATAATCTGACTTAACCACTTTGACCATATACATCAAAATGTTTGCATTTTCAAACAGGTTTTTGAGAAATTCAATACATGTCACATATGCACTATAAATAGGAGTAATTTTTTCTGGAGACATATTTTCTGTTTTGAAATCAAGTTTCATTTACTGTTCTTTCTGTTACTGACCAAGAACCTCAATCTCCTCACCCAGTTTGTTATATAGACATATGTAAAGGCTATCTCTTTTGGAATTGAAGAAATTTGAGATCAATTGTCAAGGTTTTACAAGATAGCCTGTTCAATTCCTATATTTGTAATTTTGTTTCCTGGTAATTAATGAGTGTAACTTATGGATAAAAGAAGTCTTAGCATTTAAATAGTGTTGTTTTATCCAACATTTTATGTGGCTCTTCCCTTAATTACAATTATTACTTTGTGGCTCCTCTTAAGTCAACAGGTAAAAATTCAGCTTGTTTACCCCTAAGTGTTCTGGATTGGATAGAGTAATAGTCCAATCTGAGATGAGGAGCAAATATAACTTTTTAAATATATCAATGTTATAGCATCAAAAGTTATAACACATGTGTGATTGGGATCTTACAAGGAGAAGTAAACAATTGGAGTGATTTTTACTGTGACTCTTTACTGCCAGGCATAGATTTCATTGAAGTTAAATGCCAAAAGAGTGAGTATATATATATATAAAACAAATGATATTATTTATACATATATATAACATATATAATTATTTAATTAAAAACTAAAATGTGAATAAACACAAGAATAGTAAATATAAGCACCTCAATTTCAAAAGACAACATCAGTGAATTTTACATTTTTGGCATCATTCTTTAATGCCTTAAATGTTATAATCCTATTATGTGGCTAATCGAGAAAAATGGATTGTTAGTTTAGTTTATGGAAATATAATGAAATATAATAGATTGAATAACTTATATGGTTAGCCTGCTTTAGCCATTGTTAAAAAGATTAAAGTACTGGTCTTAATTTCAATAACATAAATGTGGTTTTAAATTCCACTTTCTAGATTATAGAAAGGTAAAGTTTGTTTATCCAATCTCTGTCTCCTAGAGATTATGGTATAAGTGAGTATCTTTAGAAATTATAAATAAACATTTCCTCTTTCCTTGGTATGAAATGAAAACTGAGGAGAATAATTCTGAGGTCAGTACTAAGATGGTGGAGTAGGAGGATTCTGAGCTGACCTCCCAATGTGGTGACCCACAACTGGCAGAAATCTCACAGGCACTGAGTCCTCTGTGAAAAGTGGGGGGATCAAGTTCCACATTGGCCATCCTTCTATCCTGAGGATCTTCACTGGGATGATGAGCCCCTATCACATCTGGCTTTGAAATTTATCTGGCTTTATCTCCAGAAGCATTGAAAATCAGTGGGGTTTAACTCTGGGAGAGCTGAAGGGTTATAGAAATATAAGATTCTACTCTTATAGGGCCCATAAAAACTCACTTATGCTGAGACTCAGCAAGAGGCAGCAGTGTAAAAAGTATTTGGCCCGTATGTGAAGATTTAATGACTAATTTTAGGGTGTGTCCTAGAGGCAGAAATGGAAGAGCTGGTGGGCACCATCTTTCCTACCCACCTTTTGCCTAGCTGCTCTGGTGCATTGGGTCCCAGTTCTGACAGTCTTCATCCACCTTTCTAGCACTGTTTACCCCATCTTGGTGTTCCCCAGCAGACCCACCTGGCAATGTGTGTGTCTTGACAGATCCTCCCAAAAGGGACTGCCGCCCTGCCACACCTCAAGGGCAACTTACACTGAGACCAGTGAGCCACAAAGGGGCACCTACTCCACCATACCTGGAAGAAAGCCTTGACAAGTATGGGCCACTGCCAATGTGACTCCCACACCTCTGCACCGACCAGGCAGTTTGACTGGATCTGGCATATCTGAGAAGTTGCTTATTTACCACCAAACCCAATGAGCCATCTTAGCTAGCACCAATATCCCCCAAAAGGTTCCCATCCTGCCCAACCCAGTGGGTAGCCTCACTAGGACTAGAAACCCTCCAAAGAACTCCTGTAGTGGTTGGCCTTGCCCACCAGTGTACCTGCAACATTTGTGGCCAAGCAACACAGTCAGCAACACTAGAGACTTGTTCTGTCCAAAAGCATACCCTCAATATTTCTACTCAGGCATCCATTCTGTTGTATCAGTGGTCAGCTCTGTCCAAAAGTCTGACTAACCAAATTAAAAAAAAAAAAGGAAAAGAAAATAAAAACCAAGACTCATCCATATCTTGCCTATAAGAGACTCATCTTAGACTGAAAGACATAGAATCTGGCAGTGAAAAGATGGGAAAAGATATTCAATACTTGTGGATATTAAAAAAAAAAGGAGGAGGGGCAAGATGGTGAAAGAGCAGGGTCCCCAAGTCACCTGTCCCCACCAAATTACCTAGATAACATTCAAATCATCCTGAAAATCTATGAATTAGGCCTGAGATTTAAAGAGAGACCAGCTGGAACGCTACAGTGAGAAGAGTTCGCGCTTCTATCAAGGTAGGAAGACGGAGAAAAAGAAATAAAGAAACAAAAGGCCTCCGAGGGGGAGGGGCCCCGCGAGGAGCCGGGCTGAGGCCAGGGCGAGTGTCCCCAGGACAGGAGAGCCCCGTCCCGGAGGAGCAGGAGCTGCACCAACCTTCCCGGGCGGAAAGGGGCCCGCAGGGAGTTAGAGCAGGACCCAGGAGGGCGGGGATGCCCTCGGGCTCCCGGGGACACTAACAGACACCTGCGCCCCGGGAGAGTGCGCCGAGCTCCCTAAGGGCTGCAGCGCGCACGGCGGGACCCGGAGCAGCTCGGAGGGGCTCGGGCGGCGGCTCCGCGGAGGGGGCTGCGGGGCGGGAGCGCGAATCCAACAGCGCAGGCCCCGGAGCACAGGGCGCCGGGACACAGCCCAGGATCCCGCCTCCCCCGGGACAGGCAGAGGCCGGGAGGGCCCAGGACAGCGAGGACGCTCCTGCCCCGAGCTGAGCAGATCAGCGGCCCCGCCCTGGAGCCTCCAGGCCCTGCGGACGGAGAGCCCAGTAGTTCCTGCGGGGGCTGAATCCAGGCTCCCAGAGCTGCCCTAACCACTGGGGCTGTTCCTCCTGGGGCCTCACGGGGTAAACAACCCCCGCTGAGCCCTGCAGCAGGCAGGGGCAGAGCAGCTCCCCCAAGTGCTAACACCTGAAAATCAGCACAGCAGGCCCCTCCCCCAGAAGACCAGCTGGACGGACCAGTTCCAGGGGAAGTCAAGGGATTTAAAGTCTACAGAATCAGAAGATACTCCCCCGTGTTTTTTGTTTTTTTTTTTTCTTTTTTCTTTTCTTTTTGATTTCTTTTTTTTTTTTAATTTTTATTTATTTATGATAGTCACACACGGAGAGAGAGAGAGAGAGAGAGAGAGAGAGAGAGAGAGAGAGGCAGAGACATAGGCAGAGGGAGAAGCAGGCTCCATGCACCGGGAGCCCGATGTGGGATTCGATCCTGGGTCTCCAGGATCGCGCCCTGGGCCAAAGGCAGGCGCCAAACCGCTGCGCCACCCAGGGATCCCTTCTTTTTGAT